TGCCATCGTGTCCATTCAGGTCTTTGGTGTCCCTTCCCAGGCTTCTGACTTAAGAGGCCCTCAGCCCACAGCCGTGGTGGAGGAGGGTTTCTGAGTAGCTTCCATCACTGTGACAACATACCCACAAAAACCAACTGAACAGAGGAAACATTCATTCTGGCTCAAGGTTTCAAAGGCTTTAATCCATGGTTAGTGGGCTCCACTGCTCTGGGCCTGAGGTGAGGCAGCACAGGGTGGAAGGACACGGCGGGCAGAGGAACGCTGCTCAGCTCTTGGCAGCTACAAAGGGGCTGGGGAGGAAAGGCCATGGACAAGACATAGTCCCCAAGGGCACACTCCTAAGAAACGTCCCCCTCCAACCAGGCCCCCCATTCTACACTCCCAGGAGTCCACTCAGCTATGAATCCCGCCAAGGATTATCCACTCACTTCCCCAGAGCCCCCTCTGGACACTCTGCATGGGGACCAAGCCTTCAACACACGAGCCTCTGGGGACATTCCAGATCSGACCACAACAAGCATCCAGTGCTCCCTGACTGCACAGTGCCCCACTCAGAACATGGACAGCACATCTCCCACCACCTGGTGGATCACCCTGGCCGGCAGGCGCTTGGCCGCAGGTGGCTTCCTGAAAGGGAAACAAAGCCAAGATGTTCCTGCAGGATTCAGAGCCCAGCTCTTACTGCAGCGGAGACAGAGGGGTCACCCCAGGGGTCAGGATGGAAACAGGGCTGGACATCCAAATGCTCCGTACCCCACACTCCCACCTCCATCCTCAGGCTGGGACACCCAAGGGGTATGGCTGACCCCTTGCCTAGCTCCCTGGGCTCGACGGGCGAGGTTACCATTTCCTCACCTGTCAACAGTTACAAACGTGTCACAGGAGGACAATGACTGTGCTGGGAATGGTGAGGATGACCAAATGGAGCATGAGAGGGAGGGGACACTGGAGAAGCAGGCAGCAAGGAGCCAGACTGGGTTGGGCTAGGACCAGAGACCACCCAGCAGGGCAGGCAGAGTCTGTGGGCTCCCCAGGCAGGGTTCTGAGCAAAGGATGAACACCCCTGGGCGAAGACGGAAGGCCAGGCCTGGCAGGCTCACAAAGGCCCCTGGACCACGCTGGGTGGAAAACCAGTGTGGAGGGAGCCCTGGGCTCTGGCAGGGGCAGGGGCAGCTACAGAAGCTGGGGACAGTCCTCGGGTACCCAACTCGATTCCCAGCCTGCTCTGTCTCTGGCTTCTGTCCTTTGGTTCTGTGCTTCAGAGCAGCAACAGCCTACAAAACCAAGTGCTCTTCACTCTTCGAGACCCGGGTTCCTGCTGCAGAGCAGGCGGGGGCAAAACCACAGCCGCTCAGAGTGGGGGGTGGGGCTGGGGCACCCAGAGTGGGGGCCTTCCCCGAGAGCCACCAGAACAGGGTCAYCACAGCAAGGAAGCTGCAGGGGCTCAGCCTTGCCCAGATGTGACCTCTCAACAAACCCACGCCCACGGCTGGCCAGAGGGCCCCCAGTGGCCTCTCCCACCTCATCTGGGAGGTTGGCACACCCAAGCCCAGAGGTACCAGCAGGCAGGAGGCCCTTTAGCAGCTCCCTGTTAGACAGGACTTTATCCTGTCATCCCGGTACRTCGGCTGAGCCCATCCTTTCTCCACAAATGAGAAAAAAAAGGTCAGGTACTGAGGCTGGGGGCCTGGGCGAGGGAAGCTGAGAAAAGAAATCCAAGACCTCCGGGCAAATGCGCAGAGCTTGGGCTTCCAGAGGGCAGACTCCAAAGTCCCCTGACTCTGGGCCTGGGGCTCCTGCCTCCCTCCTTCAACAGCCCACCTGGGGACTGGAGGCAGGGGTGGGAGGAGGCCTTGCCTGCTGCCCACCTGTGCACCCTAGCAAGCTGAACACTGGTTGACAGGGACAGGTGTGTGCRCGTGATGCTGGCCACGGGAGGCTGCCCCTGGCCACTGGGCAGTCCTAACCCAGGACATCCCAATGGCTGCCTGGTCTTCTGGGAGGGTTCCTTCCCCACCAAGAAGACCTTCACAGAGAAAGGAAAGCAATCCATCAGGCCCACATGCGTGTACTGCCATGGGCTCTGCCCACCACGCGCTCTGCTGTGTCCCTCTGAGAACCCGAAGCAGCTGCCACTGTTTACTGTTTGTACTCTCCAAGGAACCAAGCCCAGCGCCTTGCTCAGGTCAGAAGGGCCTGTCCTCAGGTGGCAGTCACCCAGCAGAGCTAACCAAACCCGGCGCCATCATGGTCACATGGAACCCTGCACTCAGCACACAGATGGTCAATAAAGACAGGTGGCTCATTGACCAGGTGATCTGCCCTGTCCCATTTAATCCCTTCAATGGCAGCTCACTCTTACCCCATTTCACTGTTGAGAACACCTAGCCACAGAGAGGGTAAGTGAGGTGCTGCCAACAAGAGCCCAGGGCAGGAGTGCGTCCTCCGGGGCCCTACAGCTTTCRAAAGGGGCTTGAGAGCATTAACCAGCTTCTCAAGGGAAAGTCCCTGGGGATGGAGCACAGAGTCCCTCCAGCCTTGTTGCTGATCCCTGCTAGATAAGCCTGGGTGGGTGTCAAGATACCTGCGTGTGTCTGGAATTTTTTTCATCTATTAAAGAGAGYACTGAGGAGCTGCCAATAGCTGCACGAGTCTCCGAGTCCTGGGAATGCCAGCAGGATTATGCTCACAGAGAGACCTCCACAGGGAGGGCACCCCGCTCCAGACAGCTTTGGCTCTCTACCCTGAGCTTTGCCAGGCGGTACCCACGAAGCCAGTGTTGGAACAACTTCCCCGTCTTCCATCTAGGCACTGTCTAGGGAAGGCTGAAATGGGTGGCATTGATGACGAGAGGGACAAAGAGCAGAGAGAATGCGGGCATGCTGTGCTTCCCTGTCACCAGGCTGGTGATCACTGTGGCAGAAAACAACACAGACCCTCCTCTCTGCCCGGGCCCCCACCCATGCCCTCTCCTTGGAAGCCACATGGGCGTGCTCCAGGACTTCCCGCGGAGGGGAGGCAGAGTGGGTCAGGCTGAAGTGAGAGCATGCTGGGAAGTTTCAGGAGCATCCAGTGCCTGGGACTCTAAGAAAAGGCATCTCAGCCAAGGACAGCATCACAGAAAGTGCTCTCAGCTGAGCAGGTAAGGTCCCATGGGTGCTGCTGGGTGTGCAGCCTGCAAGGTGGATGAGCGGGCTTCACTGGCTGGTACTGGCTCAGAAACCAGGGGTGGCCTGGCTCCCAGCCGAGGCCACAGATCCAGCTCTAAGTGTCTGACAACGCAGATGACAGAAAGCAGAGGATGGTGAGAAGGGTCAAGAACAGTGACTGACTGGCAGGGCCACAGGGATGACCAGATTTAAAGAGCATGGCCAGTGTCCTCCCCACGCAGGGTGAAGGGTGTTTGTGGGGCGGACAGATCCGTTCCGCAGTGTTCCAGGCACTGTTTACATTCCCTCACCTACTTCTCCTTGCACTGTACGAAGCGGAAATCACAGACCAGGATGCCCACCCAGAGGAGCCAAGGCATTCGCTGTCCATCACAGCTCTGTCCCCTCCCTGGCCACCACCTCTCCACCTACTGCCTGGTTGTCCCTCAGAGGTGGCCTGTGGGCAGCTTTCCTAGAGGTCACCCACCTTAGGTGTGCCCACAGTGCCCATCCAGCCTGGCCGCCCCAGGGCTCACCTGTGTCCCTCCTGAGCCTTCCTCCACTTCCCACCTACTGCTCTAGGACCTCTGGGGAGTTTTAGGAAGGACCTGCCATGCTGATCTGSTCACGCATCTCATCAGCACTTCAGAAAGAGGCAGATCTCAAGAAATCCTCACCTGAAGGGAAAATGCGCACACACCTGCCCATGGGCATGTCTGCACGTCCACACACATGCATGTGTGTGAGCTGTGTACATGCACCTGGGGAAGCCTTTGGGCAGGGCCCTTCTTTCCTTTGGGACGAAGGAGGCTGTTATTTCCCTGTGTGTCCACAGGCACCATTCATGGAAGTCAGAGGACCTGGTCCATCTGCCCTTGACCAACTGTCCACAATGATAAAGTAAGGGGCAGACCACCTGTCCTTAATGATGCCTCCCACTCCCAGTTAGCTGAGAGTGAGGTGACTTGCTGACCACACTCTACTGACTAAGCTAGCTGAGGGCAGTCTGAGAACCCAGAGGTCCACACCCTGCTGGGCATCGCCTCCTGGCTCCTCTGTTGGGTTTCCTTGAACAGAAAGGTGGCAGCTGCCCTGGCACCCTGAGATGTCCAGCCGAAATCTGGGAGCAATTTCCTCATAATGTGTTTTCCTCAGGGACTTTAGGGGGAGCTCACGAGAGCGCCCCCACCCCAGCCAGCTCGCCATTGTCCCTGTCTTCCAATCAGAAGCAGAGGTCCTGGGTCTGTGGGGCCTGGACGCTGGAGGGGGCTTAGAAGGGGAGAGGCTACGAACAAAGGGGGTCCTTGGCGAACCCCTCTCTTACGTGACTCCTGTGGATAAGGAACCGTGGACATCTGGAGGAGTCCTTACCACCAAGGGATTGGCAGACACACCGCAGAGCTAACCGCGGGCCGCCCCGACCCCCAGCGAGGGCCCAGGAGACACAGCCGCCCGGAGTCCCCTCGGCTGTCAGAGCTGCCCACCTGCGGGGCCGCGGACCCCACCCACCCCGCCGGCCCGGCCCGCACCTGCTCGGCGCGACCGGAGGCGGCGGGAGAGCTGGACACTGCCGAGCTCCGCGCCCGCGGCCGGCAGGTCACCGCCGCTCGAGCGCCCCTCGGGCCGTTCCGCCGGAAACCGCGGGCTCCACGCACCGCCTGGGAACGCCAGGGCTCTGCCCGATCCGATTTTTCAGAAGGGACCAGAGCCACGAAATGCAAAAATGCCCCCTCGAGAGTGGCCCCCTCCCGGGAGCCAGCGCGCGGGGACACCTGCGCCCGCCGCCCCCGCGGAGCGGCWCACCGAGGCCGCAGCGGCTGCGCGGGGCCGGGGGGCGCGGCGGGGGCCTACCTTCTGGATGCGTCCATCGATGTCCAGGTAGATGGCCTTGGGCCGGTAGCTGGAGGAGCCGGACCCCATCCTGCGCCCGCCGCCGCACTTGGACTTTTTACTGTACTTTCCCGACGCGGCCGCCGCGCGGGGAGGGCGGGGGAGGGGCGGGGGCGGGCCGGGGGCGAGCAGCCAACCCGAGCGCCCGCCGCCCAGCCGCCGCCGCCGGCTCCGCCCCCGGCCCGCCCCGGCCCGCCCCTCCCCCTCCGTCTCCCTCTCCCCCACCCTCTCCCCCTCCCTCTCTCCCTCTCCCGCTGCCCCTTCTCTCTCTCCCTCTCCTCCGTCACCCCGTCCCCTCCCTTCCTCTCCACTGCCGGCTCCAGCGCAGGCTGCTCCCTCACTCTCCCTCCCCACCTTCTCCCTCCCTCCTGCCTGCCTTTCTTCCTCTCCTGGCTCCTCCCCCTCCCCACGCCCCCCTTCCCCACCTTCTCTCCTGCCCCTCCATCTCACCTTATCTCTCCGTCCTCCTCCTGCTCTGCCCCCTCCCTTTCTCCAGGTCCCTCTCAACCCTGCTGTCCCTCCCTCTCCCCTCTCTCCCCGCTTCTGCTGCTCACCCCAGTCTCCTCTCCTCCCCCTGCCCTCTCCCGGTCTCACCCCCTCTCCTCTCTCCAGTCTCATCCCCTTTCTCCTCTCCCCCCTCATCCTCTTCACCTCCCTCCCAACATTAAGGCACCCCCTCTTCCTTTTGATCCCAGCCACCTTGGAGACGGGCCAAGTTGACATCCCTGTCTACCTGTCCTCTGTGCAAATGTCACTCCTTGCCTCCCAGGGGTCATTCAGTCCTCAGTAATCACTGAGCAGGGCCCTGAGCGGTGGCTGGGTTTTTACCCAAACCCAGCCCACTTAGAAAATTCTCCCAGGCTCCCCCCTCTGGCAAGCTTGCCACCCTCACTTAATTTGAATAGGAAGTGGGAAAAGTTCCTTTTCATTCATCTGCATCCTTTCCCAAGTTGTGGGCACTTGGGGGAGGGCCAGCCTCTTCCCTGCTGCACCTGGAGCTGAAATGCAATTTTGTTTCTGTCCTTTAAGCAGCCGGAGGATTGCCCGTGGGTAGCCTGCTGGGTCCAGGCTGTGCTGGTCCCCCACTCTGTGTTAATTGTGCGGGGAGTGTGGGAAAAACAGGAGGGAAGAAAGAGGGATTGGGGGCAGCTCCTTGGCCTGCAGATCACAATTCTCTAGGGTTTTCCCAGCSAGAATGGGCTGGGGGAGTGGCTAGCGGGCTGCGGGTGGCATGTTGCTTTTGGAAGGAGTGGCGCAGAGAATGCGCTTATTGTTTCTTCTAAGTGGATTCCCAGCATCGGCTTCCATCTGTTGACTGTCTGGGCTGTATGCTTGCTGAGAGCACCCGGTGCATGCCAGGCCCTCCTTGCCCTCAGGCCTGTGGGGAGCCAGGCCAGCAGTGCCCTTCCTTGGCCATCCTGGTCTCCACCTGGTGGACAGTCACCAGCTTTACAGACTCTTCCAGGTTCCAGGGCCATCTGGAGAACTGGCCAGGGGGAGGAGAGAACATCAGCAGGAGCTCAGGGACTCTTCCTCCCCTTAGGTGAAGGACTGGTCACCTCAGTCYTGGACAGTCTAGCTCTCTGATCACTTCATGTGCCCCTCCCTGCTCTCCTGGGGACTGGGGCTCTCAGAGAAGGGTGATGTTTTGGGCCCTTACTGTTCTGCAGCTCCTGCCCACACCTCCTGAGGGTTTGATCCCAGAGGTTAGCTTCACGAGTGCTTTGGGGGAGCCTAGAGGACAGCCCAGAGGCCCTTGGGAGGGGGGGTTGACCCTGCTGGGTGGTTACATTTGTATTCCTATCTCACATTGCGATCTTGTGTCTCCAAAAATCAAGGTTGGCACCTTGGCTGGCTCGACTCTTGTCGGGGTTCTGAGTCTTAGGGGCTGCCTGGGGTGCCTGGGGTGGTGCCCCCCACTCAACATCTCCTAGTTCTCCACACTGTCTGTTACCAGGACAAGTCCTCTGTTCCTTGTAGAGCAGAGGTGAGTGTCCAGACCTGATGTGATTCCATGGGTGGCTGGCCAGCGGCTCTGTGCCTGGGCGTGTTGGGGCACCATGGCAGAGTTTATCACCCCACAGAGGAGCAGCCCACTGCCCCCGATTCCCTGTGAAGCCGAGGTGTGCCACTTACCAAGAACTCCATCGCTGTGGGTTGTGATGTTCTGAGCACTGGGGATACGGAAGCTAGCACATAAGCTGAAACCCCAGGGCTGCAGGGGTGGGATTTTAGGGGAGCAGAGAGATGAGGTGACATCGATATGTCAGTACAAGATGTGGTGTGTAGGTGATTGTAGCACAAGAAGAGTCGTGGGGAAGTGCTATAAAATGTTCCCTGTGGGGAGCTGGAAACGAGGGGAAGGGCCAGGCATAAGGTCACGTGTGGAAGGAAGGACCTGGTGAACCTCAGGAATGAGGAGCCCACAGGGACCCAAGGGAGCAATACCCTGCTAGTGCCCTTGCTCGAGAGCCATCAGGGCTGGGGTACGGGGGCTGGGTGTGTGAGAGGTGGCAGGGAGGCAGACCCAGGGGCCACACAAGTGATCTCAGTCTGCTCTGTGTCTGATGCGTGCCATGCCGGAGGTGTACACCCCAACCATGCTTCCCCAGGACCACCTGGCTGCTGTGGAGAGTGCTCTGGACTGGGCAAGGACCTGGTTTGCACCATGGTGGGGTGTCAGGGTTCTTCAGAGCAATAGCAGAGTAGAAGACATATATATTGTATGGTAGGGTTATGGTCTGATAAGTGTATCGTAAATTATCCTAAGTCAGAAATGCGCTGACTCCACCTAACCTACCACACACCATAGCTCAGTGACACAGCAGACCGTGGAGTGCCAGCCGTTTCCCTCATGGTCCTGGGGCTGTGGTCASCACAGCCGGCCTCTTTGAGAAAGAATCCTACTGTGTGTGTTTCCAAGATTGGGAAGATGCAAGTTTGAAACCCTGCAGGCATTTTCTATGGAAAGCGTATGGCTTTGGCACCCTGGTGAGGGTGGAGAGTCCTGGAGTTGAACTGTTGAAGTCCGGGACTATGGTATCTGCATCATGAGGCTTTGGCCCAGGGGATTCTGGGACCGAGAAGGTGTAAGGTGTGCCATCTTCYAGCTGGAGGCCCAGGACCTCTGGTTGTGTCGTCTAGTCCAGGTCTGAAGCCCTGAGGACCACGGAAGCCGAGGGTGTGAGCCCCAGCCCATAGGCAGGATACCAGGGTCCCCGCACATGCAGGCAGGGTGCGGGGGCAGTTCCTCTCCTACCTTTTTGTTCTCTGGAGGCCCTCAGTGGATCTGATGAGGTCCACTCACACAGGGGAGGACCATCTGCCCTCCTCAGCCCACCATTCACGTCAATCTCACCTAGAAACTCCCTCACTCCTAGAATAATGTGGTGCTGGCTCTTTGGGCATCTTGTAGCCGGGTCAAGTTGACCCACAGAATGCACCMTGGCAGGTGGTGGAAATGGTGGCATTTGAGCCAGGTTGGGGTTGCTCAGGTCTTCATCCCCACTGGATTGCTGTCGGACATTGCTTCTGTCCCTCTGCGAGACCACCGTTTAGCCTTCCTTCTGGGTGGCCTCTGTGGATGAATGTCCAGAAGCTGGCCTCCCTCGTGCCCCCCACATCAGCCTAGGGGCTCCTGTGTCCCAACCTGTGTTTCATGCCTGGGAATGCAACCATATGAGTCAAGGTAAAAATGAATGACACCTCCTGCCATGGCCAGGTGACAGGAGTCTGGGGTGGGTGCATCCATGGTSCTGCTCATCTGCCTCCTTAGCTGGGGCCTTGGGCCTTGGGGAACTTGGTGTCTGAACTTAAGTGCCATAAGGGGTGTTAGAGGGATGGACGCTTCCAACAGGGGCCTCAGCACCAGCTCCTGCCTGCCTGTCACAGGGAACAACAGTGTTGGGGGCAGGGGCAGCCTCCATCCCCACCCTCTGCCTGGATTGCTGTTTCTTCCGGTACCTTCCAGCATGCACACAGACTCATTCCTTTATGCAGAGCTCACTTCGTAATTGCCAAAGTGATCAATCAAAGAGGAATTTCACGTTGAGTCATCAGAGCACAGGAGAAGATGGAGGAGCTGAGCTGAAGAGAAGGGTTGAAACGCGCCTGAGGTGCTGGCTGCTGCTTCCTGGACCCCACACAGCCCACTGTCCTCCAGTGGGAGGGAAGAAGGGCGGCCTGCAGCTCCAGTGGGCGATGGGGCAGGCAGAGGGTGGTATCCAGGCAGTGTGGACGGGCCCAGCTGGCCAGGACTCCTGGAGTCTGCTCTCAGCAGCTGGCCTGGTCTGGGTGGGCTTCAGCCAAGTGTTGGAGGGCTGCTGCTGACCCAGGACCCAGAGGGCAACTCTCTGCCTGTTCTCCTGAAGGCTAACCAGTATTTTTCATGACTACTCCGAGAAGAATCCAACTGCTTCCCACACGGCCCTTCTGTACCAGGGGTTGGAGAGGAGACAGAAGCCAAATTTTCAAAYGAGCTGTGTTGAGCACATACTGTGTGGAGCCTGGGGAGAGGGGACTGGAGCCCCAGGACACGGGCGGGCGCACTGCAGAACAGGATTAAAAGGAGCAGATGAAAACGGCCATGGGAGGCACATTACCTGCTGAAAGGGGAGGTTCAGCTCTTGGAGGAGTCGGCTGGTTCTGCAGCCGGGAGAGGACCTGGAATGCCACAGGTAGCACCAACAATCAGAGAAGGTGTGCTCTTTGCCCATCTGCCCCAAACAGCCGTGTGCAGGGGGAGGCAGGCTTAGTCATGTTTGATCTACACTCTCAACCTGTTTCTCTTTATGACTTCGGTAATTACAGAATTATTACCCGTTGTAAATGTTTCAAACAATGTCGAAGAAAAGGCAAAGTCCCATCTGGGTAGAGATGGACTCGCCTCTGCCTCTGTGGCTGGCTGTGGTCCCTGACACCTGGACCTTCTCCGCAGCCCTCCCCCCACATGCTGGACAACTGCATTCCCTGTACATTGCTACCACTAACGGCAAACACCGCATACGTATCCTGCGGGGGGGTTGTGTCATGATTCTTTAGCACTGGCCTTGGAAGTGAGC